TATTTTGATAAGGATTGCATTGAATGTGTAGATTGCTCTGTGTAGCATAGACATTTAAACAATATTTATTCTTCCAATCCATGAGCATGGAACGTTTTTCCATCTATTTGTGTCTTCCTCAATTTCCTTCATAAGTGTTCTGTAGTGTTGAGAGTATAGATCCTTTACCTCTTTGGTTAGGTTTATTCCAGGTATCTTATGGTTTTTGGTGCAATTGTAAATGGGATCAATTCCTTAATTTCTCTTTCTCTGTCTCATTGTTAGTGTATAGAAATGCAACTGGCTTCTGTGCATTGATTTTATAACCTGCAACTTTCCTTAATTCCTGTATGAGTTCTAGCAATTCTGGGGTGGAGTCTTTTGGGTTTTCCACATAAAGCAGAGTGATTGTTTGACTTCATCTTTGCCAATTTGAATGCCTTTTATTTCTTTTTGTTGTCTGATTGCTGAGGCTAGGACTTCTAGTATGATGTTGAACAACAATGGTGAGAAAGGCATCCCTGTCACATTCCTGACCTTAGGGGAGAAGGTCTCAGTTTTTCTCCATTGAGGAAGATATTTGCTGTGGGCTTTTCATAGATGGATATTTTGATAATGAGGTATGTTCCCTCTATCCCTACACTGTGGAGAGTTTTATTCAAGAAAGGATGCTGTATTTTGTCAAATGCTTTTTCTGTATCAATCGAGAGGATCATATGGTTCTTGTCCTTTCTTTTATTAATGTGATGTATCACGTTGATTGATTTGCAGAGGTTGAACCACTCTTGCAGCCCAGGAATAAATCCCCCTTGGTCGTAGTGAATGACCCTTTTAAAGTACTGTTGGATCCTATTGGCTAGTATCTTGGTGAGAATTTTGGCATCTATGCTTATCAGGGATATTGGTCTGTAATTCTCCTTTTTAGTGGGGTCTTTGGTTTTAGGATCAAGGTAATGCTGGCCTCATAGAAAGAGTTTGGAAGTTTTCCTTCCATTTCTATTTTTTGAAACAGCTTCAGAAGAATAGGTATTAGTTCTTTAAATGTTTGGTAGCATTCCCCTGGGAAGCCTTCTGACCCTGTACTCCTGTTTGGTGGGAGAGTTTTGATTACTGCTTCAATTTCCTTCCTGGTTATGGGTCTGTTCAGGTTTTCTACTTCTTCCTGTTTCAGTTTTGGTAGTTTATATGTTTCTAGGAATGCATCCATTTCTTCCAGATTACCTAATTTGTTGGCATATAGCTGCATAATATGTTCTTATAATTGTTGGTCATGATCTCTCCTCTTTCATTCATGATTTTATTAATTTGGGTCCTTTCTCTTTTCTTTTTGATAAGTCTGGCTACGGGTATTGATCTTATTAATTCTTTCAAAGAACCATCTTCTAGTTTCATTGATTTGTTCTACTGTTCTTTTGGTTTCTATTTCATTGATTTCTGCTCTAATCTTTATTATTTCTCTTCTTTTGCTTGGTTTAGGCTTTATTTGCTGTTCTTTCTTCAGCTCCTTTAGGTGTAAGTTTAGCTTGTGTATTAGACTTTTCTAATTTCTTGAGAAAGGCTTGTACTGCTATATACTTCCCTTTTAGGACCACCTTTGCTGCATCCCAAAGGTTTTGAACAGTTGTGTTTTCATTTTCATTTGTTTCCATGAATTTTTTAAATTCTTCTTTAATTTCCCGGTTGAATCATTCATTCTTTAGTAGGATATCTTTAACCTCCAAATATTTGAGTTCCTTCCAAATTTCCTCTTGTGATTGAGTTCAAATTTCAAAGTATTGTGTTCTGAAAATATGCAGGGAATAATCCCAATCTTTTGGTAGCGGTTGAGACCTGATTTGTGATCCATTATGTGATCTATTCTGGAGAATGTTCCATGTGCACTTGAGTAGAATGTGTATTCTGTTGCTTTGGGATGGAATGCTCTGTATATATCTGTGAAGTCCATCTGACCAGTGTGACATTCAAAGCCCTTTTTTCCTTGTTGATCTTCTGTCCATTGCTGTGAGTGGGGTGTTAAAGTCCCCTACTATCATTGTATTATTATCAATGTGTTTCTTTAATTTTGTTATTAGTTGGTTGATATAATCGACTGTTCCCAACTTAGAAGCATAAATATTTATAATTGTTAGATCTTCTTATTGGATAGACCCTTTAAGTATGATATAGTGTCCCTCTTCATCCTTTACTGCAGTCTTTGGTTTAAAATCTAATTTGTCTGATATAAGGATTGCTACCCTAGTTTTCTTTTGATGTCCATTAGCATGATAAATGGTTCTCAACCCCCTCATTTTCAATCTGGAGGTGTCTTTAGGTCTAAAATGAATCTCTTGTAGATACCATATGGATGGGTCTTGCTTTTTTATCCAATCTGATACCGTGTGTCTTTTGATTAGAGCATTTAGCCCATTTACATTCAGAGTAACTATTAAAAGATATGAATTTTAATGCCATTATATTGCCTGTAAAGTCCCTGTTTCTGTATATTGTCTCTGTTCCTTTCTGGTCTATGTTCCTGTTGGGGTCTCTCTTTGCTTACAGGATCCCCTTTAATATTTCTTTCAGGGTTAGTTTAGTGATCACAAATTCTTTTAGTTTCTATTTGCCCTGGAAGCTCTTTATCTCTCCTTCCATTCTGAATGAATGGATTATCCTTGCTGAATAAAGTATTCTTGGTTGCATGTTTTTCTCATTTAATACCCTGAATATATCATGCCAGCCGTTTCTGGCCTGCCAAGTCTTTGTGGATAGGTCTGCTGCCAATCTAATGTTCCTACCCTTGTACTTTAAGTACCTCTTGTCTCAGGCTGCTTTCAGGATTTTCTCTTTATGTCTGAAATTTGCAAACTTCACTATTATATGTCTGGATGTTGATCTATTTTTATTGATTTTGAGGGGAGTTCTCTGTGCCTCCTGGACTGAATGCCTGTTTCCTTCCCCAGATTAGGGAAGTTCTCAGGTATGATTTCCCCTAAGATAGCTTCTGTCCCTCTCTCTCTTCTTCCTCTGGGACACCAACAATTCTAATATTGTTTTGCTTTGTGGTATCGCTGATTTCTCAAAGCCTCCTGTCATGGTCCATTAGTTGTTTTTCTCTCTTTTCCTCAGCTTCCTTTTTTCCATAATTTTGTCTTCTATGTCACTGACTCTCTCTTCTGTCTCATTTACCCTAGCTGTTAGAACATCCATTTTAGACTGCATCTCAGTTAAAGCATTTTTTATTTTGACCTGATTGGATTTTATTTCTGCATTAAGAGATTCTCCAGTGTCTTTTATGCTTTTTTCAATCCCAGCTAGTAATTTTATAATTGTTATTCTGAATTCTATTTCCGACATTTTACTTATATCCATATCGATTAGATCTATGGCAGAGTATTACCTCTGGTTCTTTCTTTTGTTGTGAATTTCTCCCTCTAGTTATTTTGTCCAGAGAGGAATAGATGAATGAGAGAATAACATTAAAAATATCAACCACAACCCCAGTGAAATACACATTAGACAAATCTGAAGAGGTCAGAAACAAAAAAGGGAAAAAAGAGAGAATATAATCTCACAGCTGGACAAAACAGGATGATCTACTTGGTCCTGGGTGTATTTTGGTCTGTTTGTTAGAAGACACTAAATCCCAAAATTGTAGAGAAAGCAAAAATTATATATATATACAAAAATAAAATTGAATACAGTAAAAGGAAGCCTGAAGGCTTTTCATGCTGCTTTAGAGGATAAAAAAAAAAAAAAAGTAAAAATGGCAGTGCCCCATCTCCAGCCCTGGAGCTGAATGATCTCTGCCCCCACTCTTCAGGGCACCCTCAGGGAAAAACAGTCAATTCCTATTGTGTGTGCCAAACTCCGTAGACTCCTGCAGTGCATACCCACACCAATCCTCCTAGGGGAGGAAGGGGATTTCATCAAGGCCCTGCTGCTTTCTGGGCCCCTGCTCCAGGAGCAGTTACCTGATTGAGGCAGGGTCTCCCAGCAGTTGTCACTTGCTGGGGCCTAGCTTGGAGAGCAGTCACCCAATCATGCCACAGTTCGAGATTTATGGCAACACTGAGCTGAGAGGCCACTCAGTGGCTCCCTGATTGTAGCCAGCTTCCCGCTCCAATGCTTGGGAACTCTGCTGCTCTCAGATACCCCCACTCTTTCTGTGACCCTGGGTATCCTGAGACTACACTGTCCCACCTAGGATTCTGCCCCACTTCACCACCTGAGCACCTTTCAGGCAGGGATGTTTGTCACAAGAGCAGACTTCTAAAACTTCTGATTTTGTGCTCCACTGCAATATCACTTTCCCCTAGCCAGCTTACACAGGCTCCCTCCTCCCGTGGTTTATCTTCTGATATCCCCTCACATTCACTTCCCTGGACCTCCTACCTTGCAAAAAGTGGTCGCTTTTCTATCTGTAGAATTTAAGCAATTCTTTTCTTAGATCTCAGGTTGAATTCACAGGTGTTCGGAATGATTTGATAGCTATCTAGCTGAATTCAGAGAGATGAAACGCAGGTCCCCCACTCTTCTGCCATCTTCCCTCTCCCTCTCCCTCCCAGAACCATCTTGTGTTATTGGTATATACATCTAAAAAGAATAACGGAAGGTTATATACCAAAATGTAAGTAGGATGTTTTCTCTGAGTAGTAAGTAATTATGGCAAGTTTTTATTTCATTTTTATATTTTTCATATTACTTTTTAGACTAGGAAAACAAAAGATTTATTAAAATAAAAAGGAGGCACAAAGGGGAGGCACGATCCAGCCCCAGAAAAAAGGCTTCAGCTTGTGGCTCTCCTGACAGGCCATCCAGATCCTGATTGGCCTGATACACATCAGCCTCGGTTCCATCATGGCCACTGTACTCTCTGGACACTATGCAGCTATCTCACTCTATGGAGGCTTTCCCTTCTGGGGAGGCATCTGGGTAAGTAATGTTAGTCACCCCACCCCACAAGTGAGTTCCCAGAATGTGCCAACACACTCAGGGCCACCTTGTCAAGTTGTGTGGCTTGCACCTCGCAGCAGGTTCCCAGCCAAGGGAACAAGAAGGTTGTGAATCCAGCCCGGGCCTTGCTTACCAAGCATGTTAGTTTGCTAAGCCTGCTGTGACAAACAGCACAGACTGAGTGGCCTACACAACAGAAATGCATTCTCTCACAGTTCAGAGGCTGGAAGTTCAAAATCAAGGTGTCACCAAGATTGTTTCTCCTGAGACCTCTCTCCTTGGCTTGCAGATGGCCACCTTCTCTCTGTGCTCCACGTGGTCTCAGTGTGTCTGTGTCCTAATAATCCCTCTTCACATAAGAACACCAATCATATTGGATTAGAGCCACCCTAATGATCTCACTAAGACTTAGTCATCTCTTTAAAGGCCCCATCTCCAAATATAGTCACATTCTGAGGTACTGGGGGGCTAGGACTTCAAAAGATGAATTTTGAGGGTACACAATTCAGCCATAACACCCAGTGACAGCCCTACAAGGTGCCATTCACCCAGAGTGGGCACATTTTCTAATTGGCTCACCCCACAGGTCAGGGAACTTTCCTCTCATTCATTAACCCAGGAGTGGCACCTTTTTCCAACTCATATGACAATGTCCATGTGTAAAAAGATGTATTGGTAATAGCTTTCAAGTGTTCAACATAGGCCCACAGCCTGAGCTCCAGGAGAAGAACACTTCTACCAGTGGTTGAAAGTGGCTGCCAGACACAGAACAGTCATTAAGCAACGGGCACTCAACCTGGAGTCCACAGATGGGCTTCAGAGTCCCCATTTTGGCAAAATATTTGGCATGCTAGATGTGTATTTTTTTTCCTGGAAAAGTCCATAGCTTTCATCAGATTCTCAGGGTGATCTGTGAGTCCATAAAAGGTTAAAAACCATAGATCCTTTCTCTTCTCCAATTTACTGCCTTTTTGATTCTTTTGCATTCTCCCTAGCATTCTCTCAGCAACACACACACACACACACACACACACACACACACACACACACACACA